TTGGCCGGAGGTTAAAGATTTTGTGGCACAAATTTATTTGGCGAGATGTCAAGTTTTAGTCGATATATGTCTTACAGTACTTTTCAAACCCTTTGAAACATAAGACTTTTACTAGAAGAAAATGCCAAAATAAATTTACCTACCTTAACACGATTTAATAGCAAAGTCTGCAAGAGCTCTCCTTGATCCAAAAGAGCTTTAGAGAGGGGATTTTTCATTGTGATTCTCAGCTGTTCGCTCGCATTATGTACGTTTTCATTTTCAAAATCTATTCGACTCAAATTTCGAGGAATATGTTTTAAGCGATTAGAGAAAATTCAACGCTGTTCCTTTGCATTAAAACTTGCTCATCAGTATGAGAGACTTTCAAGTAAGGTAAATTTTTTTTAGAATCACTCACATTTCTGTTTCTCGAAAGTAAGGCAAAATTAAATCAACACAAACGATTAAATATCTATAGCATTTTCTTTGAAATGACTGAGGCAAGCCTCTGTACTGACATTTAAATCATACCAAGGAGAAGAGCAGAGAGACATAAGCTGAATTAAGCAAGAAAAACGAGTGTTGATTTTGAAGTAATTTCTTCACTCTCCTTGTTCAAGACTGTGCACATGAGCAGTTAGTTTGATATAACTACTGATGGACCTCACCGATGCAATATATAACTGGCTCTCTAATTTTTATTAGAAGGAGGAAGACAAATCTCTGTTTGTTAAGGGATCACTAATTTATGTTCCATTTACCCTAAATAACAATGAGGTTAACTATATCCTAGTTATGTCTCTCAGCAAAACAAAATAAGACACCTTAACGCTCTCTTCATTGTGTGACTTTATCTACCAGACATGTTTCAACAAAACAGCAATAAATAGGCATCATCAGCCATTGAATTTGCCTTGAAATCATATACGTATGATTAAGTCCAGGAGGAGTAGACCAAGGGCTACAGTTATTTTACTATAAAGTATTTTAGAGAGGGTCTTATTCAATTCTTCAAAGATAGGTTAGAAGGGAACTTGATCCTATAGGAAACAAAGGAAGTTCTTTTTCCAGATTTCTACAAGGAAAAAGTCTGTGTTTCAAGGATATGTTACGACTACATCTGTTTAAAGAACACGCAGAAATGGATTCACGGGTTGTGAAATTCCTTATTTACTTAATCCCATCGGGCTAGGTTACTAAAACCTCTGTAGTTTTCAAATACCAACAAATTTTTAGAAACAGATTTTACTAAAAAAATTAACGTTAAAAAGCAGCGACGTTTCGACCGCTCAACCGACATGTTCAAGTTGAAGGATAAAATTTTTTTCATGCGCTTGTATAATCAATTGTAAAAATGCTAATAAGATACTGACTAAAACTCTAAAATATTTACACGGAGACAATACGAGAAATTATCTGTAGTTTCCAACATTTAACTGTATAATTTCCAGCCACAATTTCCGTGGTATCCAGCTAATAATATGGTAGCTAGTAGAAATATGATTTTGACGCTTTAGACGACTGAAATATGGTTAAACAATTGGTCAGAGACTGCGCGCGAATCCATCTCAAAATACCGCTGGTTTGTGGAAATATCTTCAGATTTTATCTCAGAGCTCTGTTTACAGAGATACGTCATCAGTCTATGTCACATGGTATCTTGACCGGGAAAATCGAAAAATAATTTTGAGGGTGAGAGGCACAAATTTGAGTTTTGTGAAGAGCAGCAGAAGAAAAAAAGGCTTCAAAAAATAATGTTACGTTCTAATAACTCCTCCCAAAAATGCGTGAGTTCAGTTCTGTTATTATTAGATGTTTGCGAGGAAGAAAATTGGTTAAGTTCAATGGTTTATTCATTTATCTAAGTATAGTTTAATTTTCTAAAAGAAAACAAAGGGAATTCCTAGTTACGAATATCCATGGGGAACGACTTTTAAGTGGCCTTAAAAGGCTATTAAAAAGTGATAATAATCATTGTGAAATTCCTTGTTTACTTAACTCTATACCTTTAGTTGCATATAGATCAGGAGCAAGACCAATCATTAAGCGCGTGGTAATCAGCGGATTGTAAAGACTGAAATAATTAACAAATAGAGAAGCCTTGACTGTGCTCTGTTCTGTTGTAAAGCACGCAGGAAGCGGCCAGAGCACGAAAGAAGTGTAGGTAGAAACACGAGACGTAGTCAACTGTTTCTCCCCATTTCTTGAGTGCTCTAGCCACTTCCTGAGTGCTTTATAACAGAACAGAGCACAGTCAAGGCTTCTCTATTTGTTTTAATGATAAAGAATCCGTTAAATTCCCTAGGCATTACTTTCAATTTTCAAAACAAACTTTCTTTCCAAAGCGAACAACAGTGTCGTCAGCATGCTATATACTCTCATAAAGCACGCTACAATAAGCCAATTATAATCCCTGTAGGAATAGTTCAAATAATTTGATTGGCTATACAAGACTAAAGCTGTCAAAAATTTCAAATCATCAAAATTTAAAAACCATCAAAATTCACATTCTGCGATAGTTTACAAACTTAAATAGTTCGGCAGGTCGAATTTAAAACTTTTGTTTTTTGGTCCAAAAAAGTTTTAGATTCTCAGGGTTCGAGCCAATGGTTAAATACCATAAGTTGTGGACAAGTTCCTTTTCATAGTAAAACGTCATCAGGCTTTGTCACGTGGTATTTTGCGTGACGATAGGTTTTCGTGCCCAAACTGGAAAACTGAATATTCGCGGACGGCACAATAACAACTGGGGGAAATAACTCTGTAGAGACGACTCGGCAGCGAGAACGGAAACTCGTCACGATTTCCTGATACACGGAGATCTACTTCGAGCGAGCTTATACGGACGTCAAGGATAAGACAATCTTGGTTCCACAGTACTTTTATTCTAGGTCAGGCCAACAAGCGATATGACCTCTAGCATACTCTAGTTTGTAATCATCAAAGCTGTACAAGGTACTTGCTTAAGAAGTAACTGGTGTGAAGTGCTATTGTTACACAAATCGCAATATTTGAATAAGGACACAAAGGAGCGAAAAAGATCTCTTTGAAGTTAAACGAAAACTACTTAAATATTCCATCTGTTTCTACGACGGAAAGAATCTCAAAATTAAAAAGACGGATGCAATAAACTCGAGGCCATTAACGTAGGAATCTTAGGTGCGAATTTACAGCTCTGATATAGAAAACAATACCTATCTTAATTGCAGTAGCGCAGCTCAGGAAATAAAAACGGAAAAGCAATTAAAAGTTTCTGCTTATCTATGCAAGATTGGATTGGAAACCATCGCATGAAAAGAAATTAGATTTACGAGTATAAACTCAGCTGCTATCTACCATGAAAACCAATGTTTCCAGAAAGACCATTAACACTTATATTAACCTAAAAAAAACCATGTAATAAACAACAAAAGTGCCGACAACCAGGTGCATAGTAAAAGTGAGTAATCAACAAAATCCATTCTAAAAGCCACTGTGGTTTTCATGCATTTTTTGACTTAGTAAAATGAAAGGACTTGAGATGGTTAAATGTGAAAGTTAACGAATAAATATGTACCGAATAACACACACGGGAAAATCAGTAAATTTTCCCGTAACATTTGTCAATAATGCCTGATAATATAAGTATGCAGGATGTGCTCTCCTTTTATCAGACTTTTGACTTGGGAATGACGACATGTGCTATAATGAAGTTTGTTTAGTAATAAGGAAATCCTAAAGGAAACCAACGGAAATCCTGTCGGTGGGACTGATATCTGTCTAAAGGAATTACAAATTACAGAAAGCAGTAAAAATATATTGTAAATAGAAAGTTCAATTATTAAATCATTAAAAAAAATTAAATTACTAAATTTTCACTGGCTAGTGAATCAAGATTTACACTCAAAAATTTGAGCTCAGAAAAGCCACATCCAGGACATCCTATCAAGAACAAAACAAAGTGGAGTTAATTAAAAAATTGAGGATATGTGGATGGTAAATATTCAAAAAATGGATTGTAACGTTAGAATATCGCGCACTCTCAGAATTAATTCTCTTTCATTGGATTTTACGTGAACATCTCGTGCTTTTTAAGGATTTTCTTTCCTTCGATTGTTACGATAGTTTCTCGAGCATTTTTAGGATTCTCTTTCTTGTTCACAGAGCATTGATTCAACGAGATGATCAATTTTCATCACATTTTGCTTTGCTACCAAAGAAGAACGTAAAAATTCATACAGAGAGTCTAAATAAATTGCCAATTTTTTTCCAGCAGGGCGAGGTAATTGATCTTGCAATCTTATTGGTTCTTTGAAAAGCGAGATTTGTGAGGGTAACATAAACGCCGGATAGATATTTTTCAAGTGGATAGCTTTATTCAACCTTCCAACAACCAGAGCCATGCAGATAAGTTTAATATCCGTTGATTTTTTCATGATGTTGATTCTTTGATTCATATTTGGTCGACTTGGCCGTAACAGGTTACGGAATTGTCCCGTTCTGCATCGTCCCGTTCTGTCTGTAATCAAAACTATAACAAATTTGAGGAATTCCTCAACAGCCCGACTCGAGCACTGTTATGACAGTTTTTAGGAAGTTGTTGATCAATGGGTTTTGGGGTTTTATTGATTCATGGAGTAAGAAGAATGTTTTTGGGAGGGTATTTGTCTTGTTCTTTACTTTCTCTCAACTGTTTATGACTTTTTTGTTTTGTTTCGCTTTCTTCTTCTTTTCCTTTTATTTTTTAATTGAGCTTCAGTTCGAAACTCACTATAAATAAGCACTTATTTGAATTAATTTATCAGGTAAAGAACAAAGACATAACAGTCCTCAAATATTGAAACAAAAGATGAAAAGATTTTAAAACTAATTTCTTGACTTTCTCTCAATTTTCTCTCTTGTTTAAATCTTAAGTTTTTCTTTCTTAAAATGTTACTGTTTATTGTGATCGTGCATATGACAAGCGTTGGTTCATAATCTAATTTCTCTTTTAAAGTCATTTTTAAACTCAACAAAGGCAAGGTCTTCGATGGGCAAACTCACGCATACAATGCATATACATCAACACAAGTTTTTCCACCGTTATCTCTTTCACGAAGATCCATCCAATCGTGTCCGTACCAAATCTGCATCTCTTGGTTGTTAAAAACAAACAGTGGATTGACGAGAGTACGAAAAACGAGCTCAGTTGAATTATGGTGATATCCAGGAAGACTGTAAAAGTGGGCGTTTTCTCCTGGTATTCCCAAATCCTTCAGGTCTTCAGCAGGCGGCAAGAAAGGTTTCTTATCGGCACCCGTGATGATTGTCATCAAGTCTCCTCCTCCGTATCTTGGATTAGTGCAACCCCAGTAGGATGCACCAGTCGTAGGGTTGCAGTGCACCGATCCTGACCTGTGAATAAGCTTCATTGTCTTCACTCGTCCACTTTTTGTGATGTTGAAGGAACCATACTCGTTATCTTTGGCTCCAAAGCAGACAGGCCCCTTAACATTTATTTTTTGCCAGCCCTCTGAAATAATGTAATACACTAATAATTTAGGTAGTGATTCTTGATAGTTATATTATATGTTGTTAATGGTAACTAAAAGTCATTTGCAAGATATGTTCCAGTGATAAAAGGGGTAAGTGGATAATTGATTCAGTGGTTGTCCAACTCATTGACCGATCAAAACAATTTCGTGTAAGGGAGAGAATAATTCATGTCTTTATGATTGATCCCTTCTCCGGTTGTATCTTTTGGCGTTATCACTGAAAACAAAGCCATTTTCACTGTTACTCACTCTTTTTGCAGAACACTGCGGCGAGATTAATATTTAAAAAAAAAACATCTGTCGGAATGTAACTACGCATTAATTTAAGAAGGCAGTGGAGGGATGATTGAGTCCACCAATGTAGTAAACAATTTACCTTTACAATAAGCCTCGATGACCTCGCCATTCTCTTCAGAGTAAATCCAGTGTATCCCGTCAACCATCTCGTCGCCTTCGCTCGCTTTGATCTCACCGCATGTATCCGCTGGAAGTTCTTTGATGGATCCGAGGGGAACTGCGTCAGTAAAAACGAATTACAAATAGGTAGTTTACACCATCATGCAATTCGATACCTCCTGATATGACTTGAGCATCTGATTTTTTTTGGCATGGAAGTAACAAGGTAAAGAAGAAAGCTTCCCCCTTTCCTGACCATGTAAAAGCAGGAAGAAATGAAAACTGTGCTACAGTAATTATATTTGATTGTGAAGTAGAAATAAGATGAAAGACAACAACAATGAAAGAGAGAAACTAACCACCTTCTTAGTTTCATTACGACACCATTGTCAAGGTTACTGAGGGAAATGTTTTTTTGACTTCGTTCCTGAGTTTAAATACTTCTTACAACTTAACTTGACAATGGCGTGGAGTCAGTTATTCAAAAACCTTTTCTAACGATGAAGCAATCATTAAATTAACACCTTCCAAAGGTCAGCCATAGAAATATGTATCTTAAATTCTGTAGATGCCTGAAATCTGAGTTTTCTGCAATTGTGATTGAAATATGACGGATTAAAATCCTTCCATACTGAGAAAAGGGTAGGCTAAAACCACTGCAGAACAGTAAAGGGGGTACCTCTATTTTGGGAGAGTTTCATATAAAATCTCCTCTGATCTGGCATAAATTCTTCCGGTGTTGCTTCCTTTGTACGATTGTTCAGTTCACAAATCTTTTGAGCAATCACGAAATTGTAGCTCTGACACGTAACTTCTTCCTCACACCGGAAATAACACATTTCAGGCAAACCAACCCGATACGTCTTAAATGTATGACCTCTGAGGTACATCCCACCAATAGAGTGTTCCCCTGTATGACATTGGCTACTGGCGTTGAGGATGCCAATCCGGGACATCAGAAACATGATTATCAGCGACAACTTTGGAGTCATTGTGAGGTTCCACTCGCTGCCCTTAAAATGACAAAGCCAAGCTATCACTTTGTTCGAGATTACGACCGGTTACGAGGAGAGAATCTTTTCTTAAATTGAAAACTTCTTGAACACACAAGGTAAAGGGGTGGTTCGATGGAGCAATAGCCGTTTAGAAAACGCACTCACATGTGCGCGCTTGACCCATCGTATTTGTTAAAGCTTTATAGTCATAGACATTACCCTTGCAATTTCCTAAACAGCTTATGAGGTGATATGTTAAGAAAAAGCCAGAATCATTTATTCACTTAAAACTGGTTTGTTTGCGCATTTCAGATACTGATGAAATTAATTTTGGAGATGTTTTCCGGCAATAACCCTCAGAAAGGTGTCGCTGATTTTCTGGAGAGGGCGTACCTTTTTATTTCTTTTTCCTACATCCTCGTAAGGTTTGGTATTTTAGTTGTAATATTTCCTTCTACAAAAGAGGCCTTAACTTTACAACCAAAGCAAAATGAAACAGGGGCTTAAAATATGTTTTCGCAGGTATCGGCCGCTTTCCAGCCAATTCCAGCGAAGTTACGTTAAGTAGGTCACCCTTTCATGAAATTTATTTTCTTAAGGAGAAAGAGACGAAAAGATTTTCTGTTAGTGGTTAGGTTTTAGAATCCCCCTCCCTTTTTCAATTTTTTCCGTTTAAGGGTGCCTTTAATTGATTCCCTATAAGCATTCTTTTTGGTTTAAAATTATTTAATTTGAAATATAGTTGAGAACGAAAGCTAATTCCTGATGGGAAAGTTCTAGAGAAGTTAGTTTCCGTCATTCTAATGAAATACTACATTACAATGCACATATTTCGAATGTGACAGCTGACGGCGAATTTCAATTAACATGAATGGGGACAGGAACTTGTCAAAACGCAGCGAACATTTAATGGCATCCAAAAACAGTTTTTTTTCTTTTCATCTTAAAAGCGATAAATATTTTTGTACCCATCTTTTTTTTGCAAAATATTTGCCTCAGTTCTCGCAGATCGAACAGCGAAGAGACTATCTTCGCCCTTAAGCTTTCTGAGTGAAGATCATCCCACTATAATGATACCATCACCTGCTTCTCCTGTTCACCACAAGAAAACATTAACTGCCTTGGGGCTCGTTTAGCTCGGTCGGAGAGATGAAAAGAGTCTTTTAAAGATTAACTACCAGTCCTAACAAAATGTATAACTTATAAAACTATCCTGGCTCGTAATTTTGAGACACCTAGTCATGGACAAACTTTATATGGCTAATTTATCTTCTTTCCGTTAGGTCCAATGATGGTTTCCCTTTTTTCAACGGCCAGTACTTATTTTCTCCAACAATTCTTACATACGAACTGCATGGACTAAACCGGAATATCAATTTTTAGAATCCTGCAAGAGAGTCTCAGTGGGAGAGACCGTTAGCTTTAAAACGGCAAAGAAAATTTGGTCTTTAGACGTAAAACTGACAAATTAAAACCGTTGGTCGCAAAAAAGGTAACTATAAGATTTTTTCATTCAATCGCAACGGAGAAAAATGAAACGTTACCGTAAATTAGCCAGAAATTTAACCATTAGCCGTAAGAGTCATCACCTCATTAAAAGCTTTCTGTAATGAAAATCGCGTTCAGAGACAGGGGACTTTTAGCTTGCTCAAATCCACTTCTATGATTATTTTGAAAATTTCTTACGGCATCTTGAATCATCAGAGAACGAAGTATGTAGCTTTATCGGCTGTCATGGAAAAGCTTACTTAAAGAAATAAAACAGGGAACTTTTCAGACGATCTTCAAAATGAAAAAAATAATTTTTACCTTACCTCAACGTACCTCAACTTCCTTACCTGAAGAATAACTTTTAAGTTATTAGGGGGTTGTTCTTAGAGTCGACAGGCGTTGTTACTTGTTACCACTGTTCGCCGAATGTCTAGCTAAAATGTAACAGTCAGTTTTGTTCGCTAATAGTCGTGGACGTTGGTTAATGAAAAAATTTCACTCAAATAAAACTAGATCTAAATTTCTTCCTGTTTTCGTTGTCTTCATTTTTTATTAAAACCCTAAATAATATACTTGATAAAACTACGCACGTCTGATTGGCTGATTTCATGTGACACGAATGCAAATTACAACAGCGCTAAAAACTTTCCACCTACACTGTTTAGATTAAATATGAGTTACACACACAGAAACTGCCAAACTTACATTTAGAATAAATATGGAAACCTCTTGGATGTGCACGGCAAGAGACTAGCACTTTTTACCTCATTGAAAACAATGGCTTCAAAAAAACGAGGCTTACCATCTTTCATGACATTTTAAATAGGATCGTTTAAGCGTGCAAATTACCCACAAATGCGGGAACTAATGCATCATGGCTTCCACTAAGTTTAGAAACAGAAAAAAAGCAAATCGACTGACTTGAAAAGAAAGTAACAATTAATTTGAATCGAGAGAATGTTTCAGCGAGGCACAAAATTACTAGAATTTACAAGCCAAATTTTTACTACTGATGTAGTTAAGTTATTGTCATATTTACCAATAAAATCGAGTATGTCACCCTCGACCATCTGTCCTCACAAGTTAATTTAGCACCTCGAACTTCCTTGAAACGACAAGGAAAACTTTTAGCTTTGTGATGTTAATGTCGTGAATGAGTCGTTTGTATGGTGCCGGTTGTGGTTGACACCTGTTGAGGGGAGTCTGTTCCAAGTTAGTAAACCAGCTTTCCAAGGTCAGTCGTTGAAAGTAGTTGGTGCTGAAGGTTAGGCATTGCGCAGAGTCCCAGTCAATAGCGTGGTTCGTAAGTCGGTGATGTTCAGTGATGTGATTGTTGACATCGCCCTTCCTCGTCGCTCGTTTGTGTTCAGTCAGTCTAGTTGTGAGGTTTCTGCTAGTCTCACCGATGTAAAAGGCGTGGCAGTCGGAGCAATTGATCTTGTATACTGCTCCTTGTCTGTTCCTCGGTTTGTCTTTGTCTTTGATGTTAGTCAGTAACTGACGTAGTGTGATCATAGGTTTGTGAGCGACGCGGATATTGAATGATTGTAGGATGCGCGAGATTTTTTCAGATATGCCCTTTATGTATGGTATAGTTGCTGTGGTCGTAAGAGTTGCGTTGTCGTTAGCTTCGGTAGTAGTAGTAGGTCTGTGAGTGTTACGTTGGATGAAGTCTGTCGGCAAGTCCGTCGGCAAGTCGAAAGGGCGCTTTCCTCGATGTTCTGCATCACAATTTCTGCTACAACAACAGACTGTAAATACATTTACTGTATTACGTTCGCTTGGACGACAGAGCGAAAGACTTGCGAACGACTTCATCACCTACGTTAGCACTGTCAGACGAATACGACAACAACTCTGGTTTAATCACCGCTGTAAATTTTCTCCCCTGCAGTGATAACATATCTGTCTAGCATTAAATCTCTCCTTAACACCGTACCCGACAAAGCAAAATTAGAGGCCTGTTTAAGCCACGAAAGATCCTAAATGTAGGGTGGACTTACATTGTTTAACGACTTAACCATTCTTCACTAGCACTGAATTTCACTGTCTCGCGATAAAAATCTTTCTTTCGTATGGATTGGATGAAGACCACCACAAATTAATTATCCAATCTACAAGTGGACAATTGTTTGCTCTGTTCCTAAGAATGGACAATGTTTGTCATGATATTAAATTTGCATTTTATTCTAATGTTCTCATTTTGTGCGCAACCACTCGAAATGTGTATTTAACTCAAGAGATGAAATCTTAATTATATCTGCAACGATTGGAAAGAGCTAAAAATACACATGTGGTAATGTTTGAAATCATGCACGACCCTTTGCAATGATAAAAACGAAAACTTTCTTATAGATCAGCAGCTCTGTTCTAAAGTGGTGTTATATTATTCTAAAAAGTCTTTATTGATAATGGAACTAGCACCCGATTTCACCGGCTCTACTCGAAATTATGCTTTCATATCCTGTAGAAGAAGCTCATAATAAATCATTAATTTGATAACTTAATCTTGATGTCCTCATCATAATATTGAAAAATTCTGGAATAGATTTCTCTGAGCAAAAACTGCACTTTTGTATTCGCATCTACATTGTACTGAATGGGAGCTTGAGAACCCAAACTTATCAGGGTAAATCCCAAGCAAAACTCAAAAGCAATTGCGTTTTTATAAAAACTGTTCCTATCAGGCAACAATTCAATGCTGTCCTTGTGTTCGCATTAGTTGATTATACAATTCTAAATACTTCAAGCATTTTCTAGTTATCAATTCATGATAAACTGCACTATTCCAATAGATTGGAAAGGGCCCGAAACTGACAATAAAATCACACGTTGAAATTAAAACCATTTTTAAGTTAGCCAAAATATGCATGTAATCTGGCAATTCCATTTACGTGGTGTTTTAATTCTAGGTTTAAAATTCAAATTGTAACCCAAGATGAAATATGTTTCGTCTGCTTAGACATATCCCAACATTAATATTTTACGGTACAATGTTTTGCAGTAGTATCCTCGCAAAAGTTATAGAAACTTGAATGCAAGCTCTCGATTTCAACTTGTGAAGCAACATTGATTTATTTGAACAGATTTATATTTACTCCTATTATGCAACAGTTCCACTCAGGTTTTTGGCTGATGTCTTTCATGTCCAATTGTGTGAACTATTTTTTATCTTGTTAAGGCAATTGTCGGCAAAAGTGTAAACATTTTCCTTGCCTACTGCTGTGCATATGGGCTTGATTACGAATCTCTGAGAAGGATGTATGGCCTGCGAACAGTTTTCCTCGAATGTTGTCAACTTGGACGGCCTCCAAATTGATTGAGTAGTCTTTATGGTCTTACTGTAAAGAAAACATCGATCATCTTTGACATACTGAAGCAAAAATATTGAAGGTCACTTCAGGACAATTCCAAACGTAGCTTTATGTAGTAAGGTTTTGACAACGTCAGACTGAAGCCGTATAACCACAATTTCGGGTTATGCTTTTTTCATTTCCCGTTTCATTATATAGCAGGAATGATTAGTCATAAGAAAAATTCCTACAGGCAGCAAGCAGAAAAATAAAGTTTACGACTACGTGGTAAACTTCCCTTTTTGTGGTAAACTTTCCCTTCTTCCCTTTGTTTACAATCTGGTTGCTATGGTGCCTGATCATAAGCCAAATTTATATCACGTCCCGTAGATCCGTGTCACCCACGCAAAGTTCAAAAGACGCAAACGTCGAGTGGGCGCAATGTAAGGAACTACGGATAAACATGACAAACTAACGCCTCATGTTGTATTACACAGGAAGTGTTTGTTCAGGTGCAACAATGTGTGGAAGTGAGCAAAGAAACTACTTATTATTTTGCTTGCTTGAGAGGGATGCTACAAATTAGAACTGTGGCGGAATCGTTCTTCAGACCGATATTTACTTTGAACTAAATTAAACTAACTTACCTGTTCAGTGTGCGAGGCTTCTAACGGCTGAGTTACTCCAACTGCCTAACTAAAAGCAGAAGCAACTTGAATCTCGACATACCTAGGAAAATTAACACGTTTTTGATTGTGCCGTGAGTATTTTGTGGTCGATTTCTGGGAACCGAGGCAATGAAATAAACGTTGTCATGTAACCTGCAGGGACCAACAACTGTGTCGTAGGTGCAACTGTTCAGCAGTAACAGAACCAGAGAAACAAATAAACAAAGTAGTTCTGAAAAACAAATGCTTTTCATTTGACACTAATACGAGACTAAGATAAAAATAGAGTCTCCCTCGAAGATTTCAACCCTAAGGGTTCTTAAGTAACAAACTTCCTGCATACCGCAAGGATCAGCATTGTCGCAAAGTCGTATGTTTAAATAGATCAGAACAGGCTTTGGGGGTCGTTTTGTCAATGGAGGATAAAGTTTCGATATGACTACATTCCTTGGGTCAACAATCATTGGCTAGAGGGCTGGAGGCAACGAATTGTCTTCCAAACTTTGCAGGAGAAGTCCAAGTATTATGTATCAATTTAGTAATTACCTAGACCAACCTGAAGGTTGGCAAGCATGGACGAAGGCTGTAAAGATCATCTGAACACTTCCACAAGTTGATTATTTTTAAGTGCTAATCTTAGTATCAACAAAAATGGGATTTCACTTCGTATAACCCTTTCAACTTCCAAGTCAGTAAGTTTCCTTTAGGAAGTCTCCTCGCTAAAACTAGCCGTTATGCAAAGAATCATTTGAATAGGCTAACACTACAGCTAAACGGAATTCTGATGAATTTTTCCTACACATTCCCATGTGCATCACAAATAGCGTCAGACAAAGACGACCCGCTTCAAGCAAAAAGTATTAATTATTAATACAATGATCGAAAAAAGAGCCTCCTTGACGGCGAACTCTTTCGTGTGTCAGTAGAGCTGCATGGAGAAATATTTAAGGTCTTGGGTTTCGGGTCAAGTGAATCATGAAAGCTGTTGTCCGGATTGATGAGAAACGGGACACAACTTTAACAAATAAGGCACGTTCCTTCAAACTCCTCTTCATCTGGGCGTCAACTTTTCTGGCTGTTCAAGCCTTTTGGTTTGATTTGTTTGAGGGTCGGAATTTACTCTGAGTTTACTTGCTGTAGCTTTAAGCCATTGAATCGATGAGTTGATTGATGCAATTTGAGGCGCTTCCATTTCATGCTAACAGACAGCTACAATTTTACATTACAGACAGAAAAAGATAAAAAAAGAATAGCGTGAGATATTACAATTTCAAATTTTTAATTTCGGTAACATTTTTTTCTGAAGAGATCGAGTCGTTTTGTCTTTGATTTTAAAGTCACCTGAGTACAACGTGAAAAGTGAAATGTCTTATTTGCTCTTGTGTGGCTACAGAGGAAGCTTTTGGGAGAAATATTCCTTGTTTTTTTTTCGATAATTGCGGTTGCAGAGGTGACTTACAAAAACTATGCCACGAACCAGGAAAGAAGTCGATTGCTTTCTTCTACAATTAGTTTTTCGCAGTTTGGGAGAGTTTGAATAAAGCAACCGGAACCACGTCAATTTTCCTTTGCAAGGAGACGTGCACCTGGGATTGCCTCAGCAATATAGAGGGCAGAAGATGTACGGAAACGTCCAACCTGATCATAACCACATGTCCATGGGAATTAGACGGAGATTTTCAGAAAGATTAACGCTTGGGGCCATCAATGGAAACTGTTTGTACTGCAAAAACTTAGGTTTCTGTCTCAGTGGCTTCCAATTGAGAATTTCGAGGTGTGTACAATTTTTTTTGCTTTATATTTGTTCTTGTTGGTGAGCATCATGTTGAAAGAAACATTAGTAACTTGGACACATTTGTTGAAAAATACGTCAAGTGGGGGAACACTGCCTGTACATCAACATCAGCATCTATTAACATTTATCTCTGGGAATGCACTATGTAAAACCCCTACGCGATGCAAATAAATTGCATCGGGCCCTGTTGGCCCTCTTGCTGTGGGTCACTTTCTAAAAGCTCCTCTAAGGATGAGTCGGTCTGGTTCCGCCTCACCCAGTGCTAGCACGGCTGTTAGGCCGATGGTAAACTGAGATTCTTTACGTTATCATTTACATCTCCATGATTGCTAAAATAGTCTTCCTGTGATGTTCTGAATCTATATAAGTCGTATTTTTGCAGTCAACACTGCTAAACAAAACGAGCGTGCAGCACTGATCACATCGACGGTACAGTCCAGTTTCAAGTTCCCACCTCAGAGATTACCATCGGATTATTCAACCGAACTCGTGCGAACACATTACGATCACTGTTAACGATCCCCATACCAATCGGCATCGAAGGCAGATGAGGCGAGAAAAATTCAATAACCAAACAGGTTCCGACAATTTACGCCAAGTATAAAAGCCTGGAGACGAGCAAGTTTCAGAGGATTAATAGAAGAAGAGAACACCTTCGCGTCGACGAAGAGGAGAGAAGAATGGGTTTTAAAACTATCTTTATGGTGAGTTTTTCAATTGTTCAAACTACACTCGTAGCTAAATTCATTTTAGTCACAAGAAATGTCGGTTTATGGCTCATTTGAAGCTAGATAATTTTGTTTAGGGAACGTGGTCGAGTGATTTTGGGTGTGCTTGAACAAGAGATAAACTCTCGGCTTGAAATATTTCCTTTCCTGGTATTGATATGTTCAACATCATATACAAGCAAGTGTTTTTTTTCTTGTGAGTAGTACCACTCCTTAATCTATTGCAATTTGAAAATAGACGAACGAAAAACGTCCTATTAAGAATGAACGGTAGATCTAACCAAGTATATATGTTCTGACAATTTTCGTTGAATCACTGAATAAATTGTGGAATGAGTCCTACATTTTCTGAACGTTATGACATGAGTACTTAAATGAAGCTTGTCATTTTCGGTCCAATTTTGTAGAAAAGGAATGTTGATAAAATTGCTTTCATACGTGTATATCAAAATTTTCCTTTTTCTATCGCAGTCCATCGCAGCCTATCTATTGGTACAAAGTTTCCTTCTCTGCAAAGTATGTTCAAGTCCTGTTAGAGTCCCTCAGTTGCCAGAAAACCAGGTTTTAGCAGATCTAAAGAATGGAAGTGAATCTGCAAATGCGCTGTCCGATAAATTGTTTTCTTTACTTGAACCGCACGAAGAGGATGGCCTAAGGAGCAGTACAGAAAACCATATTTTCCTCTCACGAGTTTCTCGCTCACTGAACCCCTGTGAGGAAAAGAGAGTCCGAAAGTGGAATCATTGCCTTGAAAGACATGTCGCTGAGGTTCATTGCAAGAAGCATAGTGTTGGTTGTTACTCACCAGGCAATATTCCACCGAAATGCAAGAAAAATTACAAAATCGTTTTTGGTCCAAGTGGTTCTTGTACAATGGCTTCGAATTGCACGTGCGCGGCGTGACGCAATTTTTGAAACCATTACACAGGACCATTTCTGAGCTCGCCCATCGTAACTACTGATTGTATGTGATATATGTAGCCGTTATGGACATAAGTTATGCTGATTTACTTTTTGAACGAATCAAATAAACTATGTGGTAACTGTAAATAACAGCCATTGTAGATCGTGATCGCCACGACCGGCATATGGCAGTCCTGAAAAGGAATGGTGATGCTGACTGTTTCGAAAACTTGTGAGGAAGTGATAAAAAGAGTCATGACTTCTTACTCCCGCACAGGAAGTTAAAAACGTCTAACTTTGTAACCGACAGCAGTCCATCTACCAGGACAACCCTGGCCCTGAAGATCAGACTACGCAATAAACTTGATCTTTTCAGATGTACTTCCAAGTTTGTCGAGATTTCAAATAAACGACAACAAGCTTATTTCGAAGTGCAGCATTCGTGGAGAGTTAGCACCTTAAAAACATTATGTATAGTAATGGGGGTGAATAGTCACGTCACCCATTGTTTATCTTTCAATAGTTTAAGTTACAGGATGACCGCCAGAAATTTCCGGTCTACCGGCTACGGGTTTTCCATCTTGGAAAAACAATTGACCGACATTTCTTTGATTCTGTTCGATCCTTGCCATAATTAATCATCTTTGTTTCTCTCTAGTTCATTTAGAGTTGTTAGATGTACGTCACCCTGAATAAATACTACGATTCATTTTAAGTTTTCATAAATTTAAAGATGATCCTCTGAACGTTTAAGTTGATGGCCTAATATGTTTCAATATGATAAGAGCAATGATTGATTCATTTTTAATTTCGCAATTTACTTTCTGTTTACCCCTCTTTTTTATCCTCTGGGTTCCCTCTGGCAGTGGTGCATAATTTTTCTTATTAACCGGTTTTCAACGGCCTTTGGTCTCTCCAGTGTATTAAGGGAGGCGTAAAGACCAAAATTTAAGCCAAGGTCAGAAATAGCGAAGACCAACTGGTCATGTTCTCCATATCACAACTTGAAAGGTACACAGATTTTTGACAGCGTCTCCAAACTCCTCAAGTGTTCATATGAGACCAGGTAAACTCGAAAAAAAAACTCCTCCACGAATTAAATAGAGATCGATGAATGAGCTGAATATAGATAACATATCGCCATCTTAGGCCTTGTTGATAAGCCTGCTTATTTTTAGTCATCAGAACCGTAACGCCTGCAAAAGTGCAAATTCTTTATTGTTGCCTAATTTTAAGCATATCTGCCCTCTTTAAGATTAATATCCGGCTTAATAGGTAGGTAGACTTCCTGTTGAATCGTTTCACCGAAAACCATTAGAGTTTCCCGCAAAACCGCGAATATAGTACATTTGTATTACTTCATGATCACCATGGACGTTGTTTACCAAACCGGCTTTGACTAAGAAAATCCAGTTGATCAGGGGTAAGATATAGCAGAACTCAGTGCCCTCACAGCATAGGGGGGTCATTTAAAGCGGAAAGGCTAGCTTTGGCAGAGCGTTTTAGTCAAGCCACAAGGGAGTTACATTTTTTTCGGGATCTTTGAAGCCAACAGGAGATATTTTGGGGTGTATAAGATGCTATGGAAGCAGTGTGCTAATGTTGTACACCGCATGGGGAAAGAGATTGTTTGAATTCATTCTTTGCTTCAATCTCTCGCCTTTGGGTAATTGAGGAAAATAGACGGCTGATTTTAGAATAAAGGTTACAAGAAGAGTGATATCATCTCGTCCCTAAACAAACTAAGAAAAACATTTTTATTTGTATACAATTAAAAATCAACATCGATGTTAATCTGTACAAGCCAAAGAGCATTTCTGCTTTCATCTGGAATCGCTGTACAAAACGTAACATGCACACTATGGTGTGTCAGCTTTTATCATCATGTTACATGTCTTACGGCACTGCTAAGAAAATACACAACACTTCGATTACTTTTGAAGAGTAAAAGGATGAAAGTAATTTCTTTTGTTAACAGATATCATTTTTCAAAACTCTTACCGACAGCTTTCATTGGTTGCATCTGCATCCCGTAACATGTACTTTTCCGCACCCGTTATAGTACTTCCGTATCCGTATTCCTCTGGAGTGTGGTGAAAGGTACGACCCGTCAATCGCCACAAATAGTAACTGATATGTTGGACTTGACGCACGAATGGGTATCGCGAGTGACACGGTGGTGGAATCGATTCAAGCTGTTCTTCCTGCTTCCGTCACGATGATCGTTTGGGCTGATGTCACGACGTAACATTTTACTTTCTTCAATGCCGCCACTGACTTGGTCACTGTCACGATAGACGAAATCTTCTTTCTGTTGAGCTAGGTATTAAACGGAAATGGAGTACTCCTTACTGTTTGGATGAAAAGTAAGCAAAGGGCGAATATAGGTTATTTCATTTTGGTACACCAGTTCTTTGATGAATACTCTTAGAAGTAACGTAAACAATATTAAACGTTGTAATTGGATGTAATAGGTGTGTTGAGACAAGGGGTTGTTTTTGGATGCGGAACAACACGTACTACGGTGCTTTATTTTTTCCCGCGTTCCTTCTCTTGCTCGTTTTTCGCTTCTTGTGCTTCCCTGGCGTTTATCTACGATTACTTAAAAAAAATTGACCAAGCTATACCTGAAGCTATTTTCATGCTGTATGGCCAATTTCATGAACGTGAATTCCTTTTAATGATTTATTGGCGGGAGTGATGTTTTGAAAGTTGTGGAAATTGCTTAAGTCGTCGGCGGGTACAATCGGAAATATTACAACTGATCATAAACCACGAGATGAATACGTGTTTTTGCGATTTTTTTTTATTCTTTTTATTAGACAAATAAGCTGACAAACACTTAATCTTTGTCCATCGCCGGTGTTCGAAACACTCTTCAACGAGTTTAAAAATGCTTGTGTTTTCTCTCAATTGGTTATTCAACTGATTAACCGCAACAGATTATAAATAACAAGTTAAATATCTTGCAAGTATTTTAGAAGTTACCTAATTTTGATGGAGTATAATATGGAGATTCCTTGTTCAATGACCCATTTAGGCATTCGTCCTTAATCAATCAGAGCGAGATATCTCCTTGAGTATCCGATGACTGCTCTTCAATTTTCGGTTATTTCAGTGAGACATCATTTTGTGCATCAGAGGACTCGCGTTTCACGATAGGCACAAGTAACATTAATGATATCAAAAACGATGTCAAGGCAAAAGAGATCATACCCAAAAAGGTCATGGTTGTCACATTTCAAACATCCCGACCAAGTTGTTTTTTAACTATATCTATCTGTGTCTAGGGCTATCCTATCTTCTACTTCTTGGAAGGTCGTAACGCTCCGACGTCAAACTTAACAACTGGTTATTGGCCGGAGGTTAAAGATTTTGTGGCACAAATTTATTTGGCGAGATGTCTAGTTTCAGTAGATATATGTCTCACACTACTTTTCAAACACTTTGAAACATGAGACTTTTTCTAGAAGAAAATGCCGAAATAAATTTACCTACCTTAACACGATTCAACAGCAAAGTCTGCATGAGCTCTCCTTGATCCAAAGAAGCTTTAGAGATGGGATTTTTCATTGTGATTCTCAGCTCTTCGCTCGTCTTATGTACGTTTTCATTTTCAAAATCTATTCGACTCAAATTTCGTGGAATATTTTTTTTAACGATTAGAGAAAATTCAACACTGTTCCTTTGCATTAAAACGTCCTCATCTGCATAAGACTTCCAAGTGAGATAACTTTTTTTATAATCACACTTACATAAATTTCTGTTTCTCAAAAGGAAGGCAACATAAATTCAACACAAACGATCAAATATATATATAGCACTTTCTTTGAAATACTGAGGCAAACCCCTGTACTGACATTTAAATCATAACAAGGAGAAGAACAGGTAGACATAAGCTGAATTTAAGAAAAAACATGAGTGTTGATTTTGAAGAAATTTCTTCACTCTTCTTGTTCAAGACTGTGCACATAAGCAGTCAGTTTGATATAACTACAAATGGACTTCACCGATGCAATATATAACTGGCTCTTTAATTTCTTAGAAGGAGGAAGACACATTTCTGTTTATACAGGGATCACTAATTTATGTTCCATTTACCCCAAATGACAATGAATTTAACTATATCCTAGTTATGCCTTTCAGCAAAACAAAACAAGACACCTCAACGCTCTCTTCATTGTAACTTAATCTACCAGACATTTGTGCTCTTTGAGCAAAATAGCAATAAATAAGCATCATGAGTCATTGAATTTGCCTTTAAATCATATACGTATGATTAAATCCAGGAGGAGTAGACCAAGGGCTACGAAATAAATTCCCGTAGTTTGCGACATCAGTTATTTTACTGTAAACTTTTTTAGACCGGGTTTATTCAATTCGTCAAAGATAGTTTAGAAGGGAACTTGATCCTAAAGGAAACAAAGGAAGTTCTTTTTCCAGATTTCTACAAGGAAAAAGCACCTGACGATGTTACAAAATGACGTTTGTTATCGACATTTTTGTTTTTTTTTTTTTGTTATCTACATTTTTTTTACATTAAGTTTGTGTTTCAAGGGTGTGTTACGACTACATGTGTTTAAAGAACACGCGGAAATGGGTTCACGGGTTGTGAAATTCCTTATTTACTTAACCTCATCGGGCTAGGTTACTGAAACCTGTGTAAATTCGAATCAACAAATTTTTAAAAACGGATGTTACTATAAAAATTAACGCCAAAACATTTCGATCACTCAACGGATATTTTCATTTTGAAGGATAAAATTTTTTTCATGCGCTTATATAATCAATTGTAAAAAAGCTAAGAAGATACTGACTAAACCTCTAAAATATTTACATGGAGGTAATACGAGAAAATTCTCTGTAGTTTTCCAACATTTAATTGTACAACTTCCTGCCACAAGTTCCGTGGTATCCAGCTAATTACATGTTAACAAGTAGAAATAGAACTAAACCATGATTTTGACGCTTCAGACGACTAAAATATGGTTAAACAGCTG